ACACCTCCCCCCGTTGTCGTGCTGATGTGTTTTTTTGTTGCAGGATGCGTTTCATCACGGTGGGGTTCGAAAAGGGAGATTTGGTGGAAAAACTCTCCTCCTCTTCCTCCTCTGCCCCGCTCGTCCCTCCCAGCCCTCAACTCAGGATCCTCCATTCATGCTTTTTCTTTTTCGGCATCTTCCTCTTCCTCCGAATGCTCCGTATATTCCCCCATCCTCGTCCTGCAGTAGCCCACGAATTTCGGGAAAGCGAGCCTCAGGACAAGCCCAGATCGGAAGCGACGAAGCAAAAAAGACACCCCGACCTGATAATTGCGCCCAAACTAGCCCAGAACGCCCAAGAGGCCCCAAGCTTGGAGGGGAGGGAGAAAGGGAGGGAGGAGAGGGGAGGGGAGACATGGACAGGTGGAGGGGAGGGGGGAGGGGAGGGGAGGGGAGGGAAGGGAGGGGAGAGATAGAAGGGAGAGAGAGAAGGAGATCGGACAAGTAAACGGGAGTCCCGTCGACAGCCGGCCAATGCAGTAGCCGAGGCCGCCATCGCATTCCTGGCGGTGGTGCGCACCCTGGGGAACGGGGAGCGTTGAAACAACCACACCCCGGCGCTGAGCGACCGAGGCAAAAGACGGGGCGGTGAGCAGGCGGTACGCCACGTCTCTCTGCGCCCCGCGTGGGACAAGGGCCCAAGTCGGCGACGCCCCAGTTGGCGGCCGGGGGACAATGGCTTGACCGCCGAGCGGCTTCCGAACGACGGGGCGTCCCCCGCCGCCGCAACCAGGACCCGATGACGCGCGGCCGCGCGGGCAATCGGGCTGGCACCGCGGTGGAGGATCCGCGCGGGCATGCATGGCACCGAAAAGGTCATGCACAATGGACGGTTTGAGCGCCCGTCAAAAGGCTAATGCACAAGAGAGCGGAGCGAAACACGCATGACAAAGCGCGTTGGCGGCAGCGAGCTCAAGGGTGCGCCTGCGAGCGGCACCCCCGATGATGTTGACACGCGTCAGCACCGCTACAGCTGCGAGCGCGGCTCACGCAAGGGGGGCAGCGCCCCGGTGAGGCAAGGAAGCGGCGCGCCCGATGCAACGGGGCAGAAATGAGAAAGAAGCGGATGCGCCCGCGGCCTCAGCAGCTGAAGCGCGGCCTCAACAGCAAGGAGTGCGCCAGGAGACGGCACCACACCGGCTCCTCGAGGGGGCCGGCGGCCTGGCGACGGCGGGGGCGGCGGCGCTTGGGAGTCCCCCAAGCGGCGGCGGGGTCGCCCGAAACCGTCTGGGAGCCGCGCGTCCGCCCGTCGTCGTCGTCGCCAATATCCTCCAGCCCCTGCCTCCTCCTCCTCTGCCGCCGACTGGGGTCAGAGGACAGCCCGGGGGGGGGTTCGGGAGGAGGCGAGCGGAGGGCACTGGGGCGCGAAGCCCGCGCTGCGCTCAGCGGCGTCGCCCCCACGGGGCCTGGCCGGAACGGTTGGCACGCGCGCGGGCGACGCGATGCGCGGCAGCGCGGAGGCCGTCAGCGACTCAGACGGCGACGGCACTGAGCGCCGCGACGAGTTGGCGCCAGGCGCTGCGAACGCGAACCACACAAAAGCCAGTCCCCACGCAACATTTTCGTTCAGCGCACGCGCTATTCAACTCTAAGGGCCAGAGACAACACGCAAAGGAATTTCACGCAAAGGGTTTTGGCACCACCAACGGTGCAACGCATGTGCACCCATGCCACGGGATCCCCGGCGATCCGAACAAGGGTTGACGCACGGCCGTGCTCTAAGACGCAGTTAAGTTAAAACGCACGGTGCGGCAGCGCTGCCGGCGGAGACCAGATCCCAAGCTCCGCTACCAACAGGCATTACATGGCGGTTTGGCACAGCCAAACCACCATGCAACGTCAGTTTATTCATCCGTTGACAGCAGCACGCGTCGCGGCAGCAGAACGCAGCAGCGCGCGCGGGCATGCAGGGCCCGCGATGTGGCTGGCCAGCTGCCAGCGCGATTTCGTCATAAGCGCCGAAATCCACGCAGGATCGTTTTGGGCGCGGCATCCGGCGCAGCCGCATTTCACTGCCGGGCGCCACGGCCATGCGCTTGTAGCGCCAGGCCCCGCGCGCTCTTCGAGGCGGGAAAACAAGCTCCACACAGAGGAGTCGCGCGTGCTCCTGTGCGGCCGGCGAGCGCGATCGCACGCAGAGGAAATTACATTGCGTGCCCCCCGCGCCGGCAATGCAACCAGACCGCACGCGGAGGAATCGCGCGAGACTTCGCGGCACACAAAAAAAATACAGCAACGCCCTTTGGGTTGCAACCAGACCACACGCGGAGGAATCACACGAGACTTCGCGGCACGCAAAGGAAGTACAGCAACGTCCTTTGGGCTGCGCATTTCGCGAGCGGCGACAGCTCCGAGCTAAAAAGGACGGAGGGCGGGACGAGGCAAAGCAGGAGAACAGGAAAAGGAAGAGGAGGGCGAGAAAGAAGCGAAGGAAGCAACGGAAGGAAGCCAGGATGCGCGCAAGCGAAGCTAACTCTACGCCCCCGAGACAGTTGTTCGTTCGTTCGATTGGCAGCGCAGCATATGAATAGAAAACGATTTGTTTCCTGCCTATCGAGGGGACTTCTTATAAGGAAACTCGCGCTCTCTCTCTCTCTCTTTCCAACCCCCTGTCCCACACCCGTTGCGAGCGCGCGACGATATGTTCTGGCACGCGGGCAGAGGGCTGCCAGTTGCCGGCGAGCGGCCTTTCCACCCGTCACGCGTTCCAAACAAACGCGGCCAGCTAGACGCACTGGCCACGCAAACAGCCAGCTCCAGACACCGACGCCACCCCGATCCCCGCATCCGTGCCAGGCACCCTCTCAACGACGCCCCCTTCCGGCGTAAAACCAATAAAAACCCTTTGTGCTTATGTGCTTTTTCCGGTTCTGAAACTCAGCACTCGATCGGCATTCGGAGGCGCGGTCGCCCGTGGCCCCATCAACTGGAAGCACGACTGCGATCGGTGCGCCAGCGGCTTAGCCACAGTGCGCATGGTCGACGCGGCGGTCGCGATGTTCGACCCCCCCATCCCGCCCTCCTCGACTCGCCCCCCCTGCCGCGCCGCGCGCGTAGACGGCGGGGGGGGGGGGAGGGGGGGGGCCCTGGGCGGGAGCCTCGGGGGGAGTGCGCGCGCCGAGGGGCGGAACCTCGGGGCCCGGCGCCGGGGCGGTGACAATCAGACTGGCGGGGGGCAGGCGGGCCGCGCACCTGCTGGCAAGCGCGACGACCCAGCATCGGTCGGCGTCACTGGAGCGGCCTCGGACGACACCACGGAGACCGTTGGTTGGGTTGCGCTCCTGGCCCTGGACAGCGACCTCTGCGCCGACTTCAACCCCGAGGTTCGGGTCGGCAGGGATCGCAGGGACTGGGTCGCCCTGGGGGCACCCAAGGGCGGTGCACAGCGCATCTCGGCGCTCGCGCCCCGCGCCCGCCGCGGGAGGCGAGGCCCGGGTGGCTAGGCGGCGGTTCACGGCGCGGACGCGGGCGACGACAGCGGGGTCGTGGCCCAGGTAGCGCGCGCAGTGAGCACGTGGATCGTGGTCGGTGGGGCATCGGTGAGGGCGGTGCGCACTGACCCCGAGCAGTGGGTGGCCTGCGAGCGCACGGCGGCTGGGCAGCGTGTGAGCGCGCCGCCCGAGGGCGCGCGTTGCTCGCTGTGGACTGCGATCGCGGGGCCTGCAGCTGCGGGCGGGGTCGCGCCGTTGAATAAGAGCGCGACGAACTGCATGAAGACCGCGTGCAAGGCGAGCACGGCCCGTTCGGGGAGGGCAAGGCACGCCGCACCTACGATGCCGAGGGCGCCCCCGATGCACAGGGCGTCGCTGCCGACAAAAGGAGGGCCTGGCTGCCCACCGAAGTGATGCGGCGGCCAAGGGGAAGCCCTGGAACCCGAGAGACGAGGCCCGAGACCCGGAAGACCTCGGAGAGCGAGGCCGCGCCGACGGAGCAGAACAGGCCACCGAGGATCACGGGGATCGTGGCGAAGCACGCGAAGAGCTTGCCGACGCCATCGTGGATGCCCAAAGCGGTCGCGTTGACGCAGCCGAGGGTACTGTGGGAGAGCGGCAGGACGCGGAACATCAGGCGCAACGGGTTGCTGCTGTTGATATCTGGGGTCCAGCTGGCCGCCGCAGCGGCACGACGGCCTAGTGGATGAACAAGAGCCCGTAGAGCATGCTGTTCACCACGGAGACGTTGCACGTCGTCTCGGATATCTCGAACCGAGCCCCAGGGAGCGGGAGAGGCGTGAAGGGGGGCAGGAAGGGCATGCTCATCCAGGATGGGGACGCAGAGACGTAATCATCTTGATAAACAAGATGCACATGTTGCTCGGGACGCGGCTGCCGTGGAGGTGGCCTCCCTCAGGAACATTGCCCGTCTCGCAGCTGTGGAAGTGGGCCGTGACGGGGTCACCACACGCGGTGCGAACACCGGGGCGGCGGCGCAGGCCATTGCGGCAGAGGGTAAAGGGGGAGGTGACACGAATCGGTCCCCGGGTAAGGCCTCGGTTGCGGTCTCACTGGGCTGGAAGACGCGGAAGGTTTCGCGTCCTGGCCACGCTCTGTGCCTGCTGGAACTCGGGCCAAGACTGAGAGATAGAGGGAGAGATAGTGGGGAGAGATAGAAGGGAGGAGAGGGGGAAGGGGAGAGATAGAGGGGAGAGGGGAGGAGAGGGGAGAGATAGAGGGGAGAGAACGAGGGGAGGAGAGGGAAGAGATAGAGCTTGAGGGGAGGAGAGGAGAGAGATGGAGGGGAGAGATCGAGGGGAGGAGAGGGAAGAGATAGAGCTTGAGGGGAGGAGAGGGGAGAGATAGAGGGGAGAGATAGAGGGGAGAGAAAGAGGGGGAGAGACAAAGGGGAGAGACAGAAGGGAGGAAGAGGGGGAGGAGGAGGCCGAGCTCCAGCTGCTGCTCATCCTCCACATCCTGCTGGGCGGGGCCCAGCTCTGGAGAGGGGGGCGTGGCTCTGGGAGCTTCGTGTCGTCGACGCCCTCGAGGATGGCAGACCTGGACCGCCGGGCTCCGTGTCCCGTCGCCTCCTCTGCATCCTCGGCATCCTCCGCGCCCCTTCCAAGGGGCATGGGCCTTGCCCCTCCTCATCCCTCCTCATCCCTCCGCATCCGTTCTCATCCTCCTCATCCTCCGCATCATCGTCAGATTCATCATCAGCAGCATCAGCAGCATCAGCAGCATCATCATCAGCATCAGCATCAGCATCAGCAGCAGCAGCAGCAGCATCAGCAGCCGCAGTAGCACCAGCAACATCAGCCTTATCACCACCTCCGCTACGCCATTCGTCTTGAAAGATATGGCTCAAGTACCAGCAATGGTGTTCTGACCCGATATAGGTTGTCAGGTCGCACCAGTCATGTTGGCTCGCGGAGTTGAAGTCCCAGGAACAGCGTTCTGGCACGATTTAGAACTGTCAGGACGCAACAGCCACGTCGATTCCAGACGTTACAGACCAACAGATGGTTGCTTGGCACGATTGAAGATTCTCGAACGGCTTTTCCAATGGGGCAATTCCAGCCATAAAAGTAAGTTAATGTGCGGGCCTATGAAGAAGGATGCTGGAGAGAGTAGGGTACCATCGTTTACGCGTCCTGGGTGTGCAATGGTCCTCCTCCTCCTCATCATCATCGTCAGCATTAGCACCAGCATAATCATCATCATCATCATCATCATCATCATCATCATCATCATCATCATCATCATCATCATCATCATCGTCATCATCATCATCAGCATCATCATCAGCATCATCATCATCAGCAGCAGCAGGAGCATCAGCATCATCATCATCATCATCATCATCATCATCATCATCATCATCATCATCATCATCATCATCATCGTCATCATCATCATCATCATCCTCATCATCATCATCATCATCATCATCATCATCACCATCATCATCATCAGCATCATCATCTTCATCATCATCATCGTCATCTTCATCACCATCACCATCATCATCACCATCATCATCATCAGCATCAGCATCAGCAGCATCATCAGCATCATCCTCAGCATCATCACCAGCAGCAGCAAGATCATCAGCATCATCATCGTCATCATCATCATACTACTACTCATCAGCATCATCATCATCATCATCAACATCATGATCATCATCATCATCATCATCATCATCATCAGTATCATCATCATCATCATCATCATCATCATCATCATCATCATCATCATCATCATCATCGCCGCCGCGGCGATCGTCGCCAGTGACGATTCTACAGGCAATTGAACCGCTCGCCATCGTTACTGTCATGACCGTCGTCATCATCATCATCATCATCAGCAGCAGCATCAGCATCATCATCATCATCATCATCATCATCATCATCATCATCATCATCACCGTCATCAGCATCATCATCAGCATCATCGGCATCATCATCATCATCCTCATCCTCCTCATCTGCTCCCCCTCCCTACTCATCCTCCTCCTCCTCATCCTCATCCTCCTCCTCCTCCTCCTCCTCCTCCTCCTCCTCCTCCTCCTCCTCCTCCCTCCTCCTCCTCCTCATGGCCCTCATCATCCCCCTCCCCACCTCCACCTTAGCATCCTCATCCCCCAGCTCCTCGTCCTACCCCGCCACCTCCTCTTCCACCCAGCCCCCCGTTCCATCCTCCTCCTTACGTGCAGCCTTACGGTTTCGGACTGGTTTGTCGGGACGACCGAGGCCGCACCCCACTCCCGCAGAAGTGACCAACGCCACCTCGGGGAGGGGGGAAGCTAGCTCACATGCGGAGTATACGTAGCACGCACATGCGATGAGAAATTCTTGCTACGATGCAGCTGACATCTTTCGTCGACTCAAAGCTCCGTCGCCTGACCCAGTGCTCTCTGGGCCCATTGGGAGTACAAAAAAACTTGTCGTAGCGTCTGCACTGGCAGGCCTGTTTGCTGTGCGGTGCGCCCAGTGCACGAGGGGAGCGATAGAGGACGGCGCGGAGGGCGACGTGGCGGCCACACGGCAGGGAGGGGATGGCGGCCTGCGGCGCCGGGTGGCGGGGCCTGCTTGTGAAGTTCCCCCACCCCACCCCACCCCGCGGGAAGGGGTGGGATCCACCTCGTCGGGGTCATTCGCCCCGCGAAGGAGAGGGTAGGGAGGAGATCCTCCTCATCGTTATTCTGATCCTCCTCCTCATCCTCCTCCTCATCCTCCTCATCCTCCTCACCATCATCATCAGCAGCAGCATCAACATCATCATCAACATCATCATCAACATCAACATCATCATCCTCCTCACCATCATCATCAGCAGCAGCATCAACATCATCATCAACATCATCATCAACATCAACATCAACATCATCATCATCATCATCATCATCATCATCATCATCATCATCATCATCATCATCGTCATCATAATCATTGTAATCGTAATCGTAATCATAATCATCCAAACCATCAAAACCATAATGAGCATCATCAGCAGCAGCATGTTCCTCAACATCATCATCCTCCTCATCGTCATCATCAGCATCATCATGATCATCATCACCATCCTCATCATCAGCAGCAGCATCATCAGCCTCAGCATCAGCATCATCATGATCATCATCAGCATCATCATCATCAGCAGCAGCAGCCTCCGCCCACTCAGCCGCCCCCTCCCCCTCCTCGGACAAGGGCACGGCGACGGGCCGAGCCACGCGGGAGGAGCAGGTGGGGCGAGCAGCCAGGCGGGTCGCAGGCGGTCGCCGGCGGAGGCACTGCGGGGGAGGGCAGGGAGGCAAAGGAGGAGGAGGAGGAGGAGGAGGAGGAGGAGGAGGAGGAGGAGGAGGGAGGAGGGAGGAGGAGGAGGGAGGAGGAGGGAGGAGGAGGAGGAGAAGGAGGAGGGAGGAGGAGGAGGGGGAGAGGAGGAGGAGGAGGAGGAGGAGGAGGAGAGGAGGAGGAGGAGGAGGAGGAGGAGGAGGAGGAGGAGGAGGAGGAGGGGAGGAGGAGCAGGAGGAGGAGGAGGAGGAGAGGAAGAGGAGGAGGAGGAGGAGGAATGGGGAAGGAGGGAAGAGGGGGACGAGGAGGAGAAGGCAGGAGGGAGGAGGAGGAAGAGGAGAAGGAGGAGGAGGAGGAGGAAGAGGAGGAGGAGGGAGGAAGAGGAAAAGGAGGAAGGGTGGAAGCAGGAGGAAGGAGTAAGGGGGGGGAGAGAGGAGGGGAGGGGGGGGGGGGGCGAGGGCGAGGGGGCGGGGGAGGCGAGGGAGAGGGGCGTTTTCAGGGCAAGCCCAATGTGCATCAGCGACGCTGCTGTACACACTCCCGCTCCAAGCCCCCTCCCCAGACCCCCTCGCGATGTGAAAAAAACACGACGGGAAGCGTTTCTCTATTTTCGACCTCCGGGGGCCCTTCCCGGGCCTCGGGACCGTCAAAAAACGACTCAGGATGAAGAACCGGTCCTGGGGAAAGGGTCCAGACCTCTAGAGGTCGACGTCGTGAAAAAACACGACGTCGGGGGCCTGGGTCATCACCTCGCGGCCCCCCGTTCTCCCCACTCTTCCGTTCCATGCAACATCACAAGATGCGTGCTGGAGGGAGGGACGGCGAGGCAGAGGAAGGAGAAGGCGGTGATCAGAGTGACGACTATACATTCTCTTTTTTTAACACGGCCAGCGCTGACTCCACACAGGGCCTCCTGGGCACTATTGCGGGCAAGATGTGTATCCATATCAACTGAGTCTTGGAGTCTCGGGCTCCCTTCCCCAGAAGCCCGAAGCGCAGCGGATATGTAAAAGATCTGGCCCCTATATTTATATCCGTCCCAGAGAGCCCAAGACGCAGTGAACCTGGATACAAATCTTGCCCACAACAGTACACACTCACGCTCCAAGCCCCCTCATCACGAGTCAGCACGAGCACTTTTCACTGCGGGACAGCCCACCGACATCGGGAGCACCGCCTCACGCGCGGACCGCTTCGCCCAGGACCGCCTCGCTTCGGGCAGAGCATCGCTCCCGACGGCCTCGCCATCGGAACCGCTTCGCCCGGGGGGGCCTCGCCGGCAGATCGCTCCGCCAGGGACCGGACCGCTCCAGACCACTTCACCCGTCGCAAACTCTCGTCGTGATCGTCACTGGTCGTCGTCGTCATCACTATTCGTTACATCTCGCCGTAGTCGCTCGTCGTCGCTCGTCGTCGTAGCTAGTCTTCTTCGTCGTCGTCGTCGCCCTCACTCGCCGTCCCTCCGTCAGTCGGCATCGTCACGTGTCGTCTGCGGTGGTTGTCGTCGTCGTTGACGTTGTCTTCTGAGTCGCCATCCTTAGTCGTCATTGTCGTGTGCGCACAGTCATCGTCGTCGTCGTCGTCGCGGTCGTCGTCGCCGTCGTCGTCGTCGTCGTCGTCGTCGTCGTCGTCGTCGTCGTCGTCGTAGTCTTCGTCGTCGTCATCGCCGTCGTCGTCGGCACCCGCCAGTCAGGGCCCGCTCGATAGTGCGCTTGAAAGCCCAATCGTCCGCTTGAATGTCCCGCCCCACCCGACCTGGCCGTTAGGATCCACTGGCCCGACCCACACGACAATTACTACCACCAGCGCCACCGCGACCACCAGCTGCAGCAGCATTCTCCTGGGCACCCGATCAACCAGCACAAGCAGCAGCATCGCTACCAATACCACCACCACCACCACCAACACTGGCACCAGCGACACGGGCACCACCGCTACCGCCACCAGCAAGACAGTCGTTGAGACCTCGTGTCTGAGGGGCAGCCCCATCAGTCTGGCCCAAGCGTATAGCACCCGGCAAGCTGTTTTCGTTGGCCTGGAAGCGGTGTCTACCCGAGAGGCGGTGGCTGCCACTGCGCTTGGGAGAGGAAATGCCCAGCGGGGTCGCCTCGCTGCGGTGGTCCCACACGTCCCCGTCGACGTCCGCGTCGCCATCAACTACCTCTACTACTCCGTCCCCGCCTCCTCCTCCTCCTCCTTCACCTTCACCTTCACCTCCGCCTCCCAGCTCGAAGTAGCACTGCTCCCGTGTTGCCCCTCTTCCTTCTCGCAGCAAGGACGAAAACCAAGCACTCGCGTTGGTACAAGGCGTGTTCGACCCCGAACTAACAGTCACCAGACAGGCTCGAACACGCCTCCTAGGGTATCAGGAAAGCCAGCTCGATCGCGGGATGGCCTGAACATCCTTTTTGGCACGCGGAGCTGAATGCTCACAAGGCATGCGCAATCATGTGTAAATACATGCATGCTGTCAGCCCTCGCACTGCTGTAACATTCCTGCGCCATCATCATCATCATCATCATCATCATCATCATCACCACCACCACCACCACCACCACCACCACCACCATCATCATCATCATCATCATCATCATCATCATCATCATCATCATCATCATCATCATCATCATCATCATCATCATCATCATCATCATCATCATCATCATCATCATCATCATCGCCGCCGCAGCGATCGTCGCCAGTGACGATTCTACAGGCAATTAAACCACTCGCCATCGTTACTGTCATGATCGTCGTAATCACGATCATGGCAGATGAAACAACTATATAACGTTCCGCGGATTTCGTGGACCTGCGCTGGACCCACCTTCCTGGCGAGCGGATTGCGCCAAGGAAGGCCCCGCAGGCGCCGCCAGTAGGTCCAGGACAGATCCAAGAAATCCACGCTGCGGACGTTAGAAAGGGTGTTCCGAATCTCTTAATAAGCGTCGGGGGGGCGTCACCCCCGCCGACAGCCCCGCATCGACCCCCGTGGCGGGCAGCCACCGCGCGCCGAAGGCGGTCCGACCCCCGTCGCGGCGCGACGACGAGGCGAGGTTGACCCCCGTCAGGGTGTACCCCCCCCCCCCACACGCTTATTCAGAAACCCAGAGTACGTTTGCGTCGCCTTCTCTTCTTCGATAGCAGCAACGTCGTCACGCTCTTCCCTTCACGGCTCGTCCCCTTGCCTGCTGCCGCCGTCCAGGCAGAGGATGGCTGGTGTCGGGGGGCGTGGGCGACCCCAGAAGGTTCTCCACGCTCACCCAGCCATCGTCGTCGATCTCTATGTTCACCCTCTTGGCGCCGTGCCGCAGGATCCAGGAGACCTAGCCAGCCATCTCCCTCCTTCTCTCTCTCTCTCTCTCTCTCTCTCTCTCTCTCTCTCTCTCTATATATATATATTGCTCCCTCTCTTTTTCTTCTCTCTCTCTCTCTCTCTCTTTCTCTCTCTCCTCTCTCTCTCTCTCTCTCTCTCTCTCTCTCTCTCTCTCTCTCTCTCTCTCTCTCTCTCTCTCTCTCTCTCTCTCTCTCTCTCCCTCTCTCTCTCTCTCTCTCTCTCTCTCTATATATATATATATACACGTGAATGCGAAACCATGTAGTGTATACTTGTATGTGGATTATGCTGCACACGTATGCGCACATGATACGTTTCGTCCAAATTGTCTCTGATCGCCTTCTCTCGACGAGAATGTGTACAAGCACGGACGTGCACCCAGGAGCGGGACGGCGTACTGGCCCGGGCCCCGGGCCCACGGCACCCCGATGCGCGTGTGTGCGTGTGTGTGTGTGTGTGTGCGTATGCCTCCACGGCGTCCCCTACATGGATCCGAGTGCACCGCGCGTGCACCGCGCGTGCTCGCCTCTCAGCGCCCACGCCAAAAGGCGAGGCGCGGGGCCCCCCGGCGTCGGGCGGACGGGGCGCCGCCGCGGGGCCGGGCGCCGGGCCGGGCGCCGGGCCGGGCGCCCGTCGGGCCTCGGGCCCGGGTGCCGGGCGAGGCTTCGGAGGTCCGCGGGGGGGGGGGGCGCAAGGGGTGGTCGATGGCCGCGTCGGCAGCGCCGACGGGAGCGGCCTCGGGAACGGCAGGGCCGGCAGGGAGGCGGGGAGGGGGCCCGGGGCGTCGGGCGGGGCGCGGGCCGAGGCGCAGGGCTGGGCGACGGGTGGCACGTCGGGCGGGGGCTCGGGCGAGGCGTCGCTGGGCGAAACGAGGGGCAGCGTGCGGGGCGGGGTCCCAAGGAGGGCGGGGCGTCGGGTGAAGGGGCGGGATGGGCGCGGGATCGAAGGCGGGACGGGCGCGGGGCAGGGCGTCGAGCTGGGCGTCGGTCTGGTCGTCGCTGACTGTGGCGCTGCAGCTGGTCAAGTTGGGCTCGGGATCCCCCATCAGCATCTCACAGAGCCGCGGCATGGCCATCCTGGAGCTCGATGATCCCGGCACTGTGGCTGATCGCGCGGGGCGCCGCCTCGGCAACCAGCATCTCCTCGCGCTCGTTGAGCAGCGGCGCGGCAAATCTCCGCTGTGCCCCACTCTCGCAACTCGCAGATCATGGCTCTGTAGCTGATCGCGCGGGGCTCTAGTGTTGCATCCAGAGTCTCGCTGGGCAGCGACTTGGCGTGCTGCCACTGCTGTCTATATCCGGACTCGCTAACCCCAGCGCTGTAGCTGGTCGCGTAGAGCTCCAGTTTTGCATCGTTTGCATCCAGCGTTTCGCAGAGCAGCGGCACGGCCCGCTGCCACTGCACGCCAACATCGTACTCCCTGATGCCCGCATTGTAAGCGATCGCGTTGACCCTGCGCCCAGCGTCGCGCTGAGCAGCGGCATGGCCCGACTCCTCAGTTCTCAATTTTCGCGCTCGCGGATCCCTGCCCTGCAGCTGATCGCGTTGGGCTCCACTTTTGCGTCCAGCCTCTCGCCGAGCAGCGGCGTGGCGCGCTGCCGCCGCACGCCAGCCTGGTCGTTGACTTCCGCACGGCAGCTGATCGCGTTGGGCTGTGCGTGGAGCGACGCATCGGACAGAGCGGAGGGGTGGGCGTCGGGCTCCAGCTCATAGAATTGCGTCGCGCTGAGCAGCGTCATGGCCCGATGCCACTGCTCTCCAACCTCGTACTCGCTGATCCCCGCACAGCAGCCGATGGCATCTCAGTTCTGACGTTCGCTGACCACCGCAGTGTAGATGATGGCTGGAGCATATCAGGCAGTACCCTGCAGGACAGCGGTGCAGCCTGCTGCCCCAGCTCCCCGACCGTGAGGCCATGGCTGGGTGTACGGCTCGTTGTTGAGCTGGGCGCAGGGCGGAGCGTGGGGCGTGGCGTCGGGCTGGGCGCAGGGCAGGGGGATATCAACCGCATGGCGGCCGTCCAGGGCGTTGGCGGCGGCGGCAGCGGCCCAGGCCAGGGCCGCGGCGGCGGCCGAGAGGCTGCCAGAGGCCGCCCGCGCAGCAGCGTCGGCAGCCGCCCCGCACCAGCGGCCGCGTCTGCAGCCGCAGCCGCTGCGGCGGCAGCGGAGCGGGCCGACGGAGCAGCCCCTGCCCGGCCAGCGGCGGCCGCGGCCGCGGCTTCGGCGGCGCGGCGGGGGCGCAGCGGCACGGCCCAGGGCGCACGCGCAGGCCGCGGCGGCGACGGCCGCGGCGGCGGGGGGCGGCCGCGGCGGCCGGCGGAGGAGCAGCCGGATGCCCGCCAGCACGCGGCCGGCCGGCACCCGCGGCGGGCCCCGGCGGCGCCAGAAGAGCCAGCGGCCCGAGCGCCTGCAGCAGCATCCGCGGCGCCAGAGGCGGCCGCGGCGCCAGCAACCGCCGCGCCGAGCGCAGCGCCGGCGGCGCTGGCGGCGCGGTGGCGCGCGGCAGCCGCGCGGCGGCTGCGCGGCGCTCGCGACAGCGGCGGGCCGAGGTCCTCCCGCCTCGGCCGAGCATGGCACCGGGGGGGGCCAGGACGGGGTGCCCCTCCCCAGCCCCCCGCGACCCCACCCACCCTAGGGCACGCCGGAGGCTGGGGCCGACCTTGCGGCAGCGGCCGCTGCGGCTCCCCTCGAGCACATACACACATCCACACACACACACACACATCCACAACACACACACACACACACATGCACACACACACACACGTTTTGTTTCCCGGCCAGTTGATCCAACGCAGCGAGTGCTAGAGCGGGGCACGCCTAGATTGATCACCACCGAGCATCAGTCGGTGGGTGGTCAGGACGTTGGTGGCACGTGCAAGAGAGAGCTGGGGGCAGAAGCCAGCGCACGGGGAAAATGCCTGCCGAAGCCATGCAGGTAGTGCGGACACTACACAGAATGCAATCAGCCGACCCAATCGGCGCGACCCAGTGAAGGGCGCGGGATGGCGAGGGCGGGCAAAGGCAGCGCTGGGTGGTGAGGAGGCCCGACAGTACCAGGCTGAGAGCTACAGGCCTGCAGGAGGCCAGCCCGCCAGGCAAGCCGCCAACCTGGGAGCCGACAGCCGCGTGCGAGGGCAAGCGGCGGGAATACACACAAGACACACACAAGACACACACACACACACACACACACAAGACACACACACACACACACACACACACAAGACACACAGCACACACACACCCACATACACATACACACATACACACACACACACACTGCACACACACACACACACACACACACACACACACACACACACACACACACACACACAAACACACACACACACACACACACACACACACACACACACACACACACGCCTGCGCGCGCGCACAGCCAATCCCATCTCCCTCTCTCTCCTCTCCACATCAGAACTAGCCGTCTTTCCGTCCGCTCATCCCCCTCGCCTGCTCCCCTCCCCATCCACCCCCCCTTCCATCCCCCGACGACCCCTCGCGCCCCAGACCTCCTGTGCCCGATGTGTCCCTGCCCCATCACCCCGCGTCATCACCACCCCTCACCCCATCACTTCCCCCCTGGTTTCGCTGTCGACCGAACCCTGGCCACCTTCTTCGAAATCTGTGTCCGCTCGTCGTCGCCATCCTTCAGCGACATCATCTGCTCGAGCGTCCTGTTGTTCCTAGGCGACAGGATCACTGGTGCAGGCGGTCACTCCCAATCGCGTTCACAACGTTAGATGAGCTTCGACACATGAGGAAAGGTGCGGTCTGGACGTATGCAAAGGTGACTTTCGCTCTGAACTTCCCTGCCCTCGTTCGCATCGTCTCCGCGTGCCTTACTTCGTGTTTCCGTCCTTCCCTACCTCGCGCGCGTCGCTCTTCGTCCATATTCACTACCATGTTGTACCTCGCTCTGCCACACCGCTTACTCTACGTACATCGCTCGATGTCACCGCACACCGTATACAAAGTCCTGCCTTTCAGTGCGGTGTTGTGTCACGCTTCACTGTGCGATGCATTGAATTTCATTGCGTCACCATCAACACAGTCATCAGCAGCTTCGCATACGCATCAGCATACACTATCGCCGTTGTCGTCGCTAGCACTATCAGGAATCGTGCACTTGTTCATCGTGATACCCAGCACCATCGCATTCCTCCTTATCAAGACGACCCTTGGCAGCACGATCAGTTAAACTAGCATCATCATGCACGTAAAGAACATCATTCATCTACATGGGTGCCCACTACCTGCCAACGCTTGTCTCTGCGTGTGCTCCCTGCATGTGCAAACGTGCGAACTACTCAATTCCTTCACAAACAACTCCACGGCCAACTATCTTTGATTGCTGCGGTCGCGCTGGCCACGACAGCTCGAACAAAACCACGGCCTTAAACACACAAAGGGGATGCCTTGAAACCAGAAGGTCGGACACACATCGGGACCCAACAACTCAGCTGCATCGATGCCCAGCATTGCCAACAGTAGCTCTCTGAACGTTGGACGACTGACAAAGCCAAGACAACAACAACTTCGGTCGACTGTGCTAGAAACCCGCGAGGCAATTGAGGCAGCAGGCTGACAACACAAGAAAACCGGCTATGACGCACAGCTTGAACAAAAAGCGCAGCCTGTTGTTGCCCTTGTCAACCTGCCCGTCATTCTCTTCGTCAGCCTCGGAGTTCGGTGGGCACCATGGATATGCGAAGCGAGAATGCAAGCCGAGAAACGAACAATTCCACCTGCCCTATAGGGCGCGGGTGGTTTAGAGCGTTTCCTCTTCCAATCTTACCCTTTGGGGAGGGGTTCATCACTGTTCCGAATGACTAAATACCCCCACCCCCAGGCGGCCGGCAGCCAACAAGGACCAATGAGCGCCCCCCTCCCCACCACCCCCTGTCAAAAACGATGTCAAGTCCACTTTGGAGCAAAATATTGAGTCATGATCGGGGAGGCCGCGAGCACGTTGTATGTTGTTTTGACAGGGACGGCGGGGGTGCCGCCATATTGCCCGCTATGCGCAAGGCCAACATCCCTGTTGAGAAACCATTCAAAATGGACGTCGAGACAAAATCTGGATCATCCACGGGCACCCCGCGATCACTGCGCATTGGTTTTTGACTGAGACGGCGGGGGTGCTGGCATATTGCCTGCTATGTGCAGGCCGACCAAACGATATGATGGCCACACCGCCGCGATTACGCACTGGTTTTCGACAAGGGTCGATGTGTACTGCCACGTGCGCAGGCGCACCTGGCACACTCTGCGCGTGCCCCGAAAGTGGCGCACCTGGCGCGGCTGGAGCATGCGGCACACATGGCGCACGTGGATGACGTGGCGCATCTGGCACACTAGGCGTGCCCAGCACGCTTAGGCCACAGGGGTGGCGCACCTGGCGGGCACGGCGCGCCTCTCGCCCCAGCGTTGCGCACACGGGGCGTGTGTCGGTTCCCAGTAACTCCATCTAAAGACTGCCGCTGAACACGCTGCGGTTCGGGTGCTACTTTGCGTTGGGAGGGCGGGTGGGATTGAGCGAAAAGGCTCTCGGGCGGGGAGGTTGTCTTGACCCCTCCCCCTATCCCTTACCCCTAGACCTGGACGGGGACGGGGCGTCCAAGATGGTCTCGGCGTCAAGGCCAAAATAATTAATTCTACAAAAAGGGTGTTGGCCAAAGTGTGGCCTCCTGTGAGGAGGGCCGTTACCTGAGTACCCCTCCTTATTTGATCGATCTCCTCCAAGATGGCTCCAAGATGGTCCCCAACGCTCCCAAACGTGCCCCAAGAGGGTCCCAAGAGGCGCCCAGGAGACCCCAAGAGGCCCCAAGAGGCCCCCAAGAGGCCCCCAAGAGGCCCCCAAGAGTCTCAAACAGCCCCCCCCCCCCGAAGCACCCAAGATGTTTCAAGAAGCCCCTGGGACCTCCAAGAAAGCCCAAAGGCGCCCAAAGAGGCTTACAAGAAGCTGCCAAGAGACATCCGAGGAGCATCGAAGAGGCTTCTGGCCCTTTCGCTCGCTATCCTCCTCCTCCTCCTCCTCCTCCTCCTCCTCCTCCTCCTCCTCCTCCTCCTCCTCCTCCTCCTCCTCCTCCTCCTCCTCCTCCTCTCCTCATCCTCATCCTCATCCTCATCCTCATCCTCATCCTCATCATCATCCTCATCCGATCCTCATCCTCACCCTCATCCTCATCCTCATCCTCATCCTCATCCTCATCCTCATCCTCATCCTCCTCCTCCTCCTCCTCCTCCTCCTCCTCCTCCTCCTCATCATCTCATCCTCATCATCATCATCATCATCATCATCATCATCATCATCATCATCATCATCATCATCATCATCATCATCATCATCATCATCATCATCATCATCATCATCATCATCATCATCATCATCATCATCATCGTCAGCATCATCATCATCACCAGCATCATCATCATCAGCATCATCATCAGCATCGTCATCGTCATCAGCATCATCATCATCGTCATCATCATCCGCATCCTCATTATCATCATCAACAACAACATCATCAGCATCAGCATCAGCATCAGCAGCATAATAATCAGCATCATCATCACCATCATCATGACCACCATCACCTTCATCGGTATCATCACCATCAACATCACCACCACCATCAGCATCATCAACATCATCATCAGCAGCATCAGCATCATCAGCACCAGCATCATCATCATCATCATCAGCAGCATTATCATCATCATCGTCATCATCATCAGCATCATCAGCAGCATCATCGGCAGCATCAGCATCATCATCAGCATCAGCATCCTCATCATAATGTTCACCATCACCATGCTCAGCATCAGCCGCAGCATCATCATCACCATCATCATCATCATCGTCATCACCATCATCATTATCACTATTTGTTAAGAAGAATGTTAGTAGCAGTTCGATCATTATGTATATTACTCCTATTAGTATTACGACAAGTGTTAGACTCATAATTGCATGATTCGTACTAGTGTTACTCTTATGCTTACATGTTGTAATATTCCCCGTATTATTAATCATGTCAGTATGACCATGTTGTTCCGTAGTATCCGTCTTCCCCTTCTCCTCTTCATTACTAGTACGACTCTTATTAGTATTGACTTGTTTATTATCCGTACTGTTAGTAGATTATCATTCGTCATATCACCATTGCTAATATGCTAATAGTCGTATTATTCGTCTGATGTGTTTTCGTTTTGCTCTCCGCCTCATCGTCCTCCTCCGCCGTCGCCCTCCTCCTCTTCATCCTCGTCCTTCTCCGCCCTCCTCCACCTCCTCCTCTTCCTCCTCGTCCTTCCTCATCATCATCCTCCTCATCATCATCATCAGCAGCATCATCATTATCATCATCACCACCACCACCACCACCTTCATCATCATCATCATCATCATCATCATCATCATCATCATCATCATCATCATCATCATCATAACCAGCATCATCATCATCAGCACAAGCAGCAACATCATCATCGTCCGCCTCATTATTATCAGAATGGAGGGGCTGAACCGAACGGTCACTCACTGTCCCTGGGTGCGTGGCTGAAGCGGATTATCGTTGTTGTTGTTGTTGGTGTTGTTGTTGTTGGTGTTGTTGTTGTGTTGTTGTTGTTGATGTTGCTGTTGTTGTTGTTGGTGGTGTTGTTGTTGTTGCTGTTGTTGTTGTTGGTGTTGGTGTTGTTGGTGTTGTTGTTTGTTGTTTGTTGTTTGTTGTTTGTTGATTGTTGTTTGTTGTTTGTTGTGTATTGTTTGTTGTTTGTTGTTTGTTGTTTCTTGTTTGTTGTTTGTTGTTTGTTGTTTGTTGTTTGTTGTTTGTTGTTTGTTGTTTGTTGTTTGTTGTTGTCGTCGTCCCACCCGCGACCCGCCCCGCGACCCACCCGCGACCCACCCCGCGACCCACCCGCGACCCACCCGCGACCCACCCCGCGACCCACCCGCGACCCACCCCGTGACGCGACCCACCCCGCGACCCACCCGCGACCCACCCGCGACCCACCCGCGACCCACCCAACCCCGACCCCCCCGCCCGCGACCCACCCCCCGCGACCCACCCGACCCCACCCGCGACCCGCGACCCACCCGCGACCCAGCGACCCACCCGCGACCCGCCCGCGACCCACCCGCGCGCCACCCACTCCGCGACCCACCCAAATTTTTTCGGCGCCTGCGGCGGGCTTCTTTTGCATTCGTTCCAGGTGGAGAACCTGCGACCCACCCGCGACCCAAACCGCGCTCCGTGTACAAATCCAAATTTTCGGCGCCTGCGGCGGGCTGTTTTTGAATCCCTTCCAGGTGGAGGTGGAGAGCCCGCGACCCACCCGCGACCCAAACTACGTTCACTGAACAAGCCAGAACTTCGGCGCCTGCGGCGGGTTTCCTTTGCATTCGCCCCAGGTGGAGAACATGCGACTCAAACCGCGTTCAGTGTACAAATCAAAGATTTTCGGCGCCTGCGGCGGGCTGTTTTTGAATTCCTTCCAGGTGGAGGTGGAAGGCCCGCGACCCACCCGCGACCCAAACTACGTTCATTGAACAAGCCAGGAACGGAGGAGGCGGACGACGACGACGACGACGACGACGACGACGACGACGACGACGACAACGACGACGATGAGGACGAGGACGCGGACGAGGAAGAGGAGAACGAGGAGGAGGAGGAGGAGGAGGAGGAGGAAGAGGAGGAGGAGGAGGAAAAGGAGGGCGTCATCGACAGGGAAGGGCCACGAGGTCCGCCGGATCGACGCCCGCGTCGCCCGCGCCCGCCCACCTCACTTTTATCCGCAACTGCGGGGCGCTACGTATTCCTCCTCATCATTATCTCCTCTTCCTGCCTCTCGTTTTCCTCCTGC